TGCATTTAGTAAGTGCTTCTCGGCTTCCTCATTAAATTTCAATGACTATTGAAAAAATGTATATACTGTGAACAAAAGCATCGATGCTTGAGATATGGCTGTACCAACGATCGGATATCCATAAATTGAACATAGAAAATAGCAACACTATACGGCAGCGCACATTTTTTGGCCGAAATATTAATTGTATAGTGTAACTCGGTATTCGAGTAAAACTTGGTTATTCTGGTATAAAACACGAAATATCTTGGAATGAAAGCGATGGAAGGAACATAGATAATGATGAAAGTATGCGGTACACAGTCAAACTCGGTGAAAAAAAGCAAACAAAATGGGTTTAAATTGTTCGTTCAAACAGAACCAACATTATAATAAAACAACAACAGCAACGATGAGATAGAACAGCTAGGTTAGAAGATTATTTCTCACGACTTGTACGAGAGCGCGCACGCACACTCTACTTTTTCCTTACTTTAATTAATAGTGGTCTTTAGTTTTGTAATTCGTTTTGGCTATGGCCTTTATTTCATCGTTTTTATACTTCTCATTTCGGGAAGTTTTAGTATTAGCGTGAAGATTGAACTTTACTTCTTTCATTCTTCAATTTCCAAATAGCATGACTTCAAATTTAAGAGAGCATACTTTTTTTTGCCAAAGAGTCAAGGCATACGAAATTCGATTACGTCATTTTTAATTTTGAACGAACCTTTTAAACATTTCGAGCAGATGAAGAAGATTTACGATTTGAAATGTCATTTAAATTTAGAAAATTCGAAATTAATTTGCTGAATCAAAACTATTATATTTAAGCAATGGTGCATGAAAACAATATTACGCTTTTTTGCGTACTTAATGCCATAACGTCATGGAATGAAGAGAGAGAAAGAGAGAGAAATGAATGAAGAGAGAGAAAGAGAGAGAGCATTCAAACAAATCATATCGTAAAATCTGAATTTTAAAGCTGAATTCATGTGTATATGATTGATTGACTTTCTCTCGTGCGCCATTTTGATTGATTTCACTCAATAATTTATCTCCGCATATATCTCACTTCGATTCTGTTATTTCGCGCGAGCTAAAAATGTGTACACTCATGTAAATTATGTTAATATAGTGCGGCAAACCTATTTTGAATGAAACACTAAAAACACACAACAAAACCATAACAGACAACGTGAAAAATGTTGAATCTGTATTTTAATTTAATATTAAACGCGCTCTAAAACAAATGAAAAAAATCAGTATAAAAATAGCTGACGGAAGATATTTTTCCGAAGAAACATTCTATTTAAGATTAAAATTATAGTTCTGAATGTTGAAACATATGGTCGGATCCGAATGATTTCTTTTTATCTCCCGCTTGACACACACGTGCCACGAGTTGCAAAAAAAACCAACAACCGCACACACAGACACGAAAATGAGTTCATCTTTTCAGCTCGTGCCATTGTCGACGAATTGCATTTGTTGAAAATAATTAACGAATCATAAATTATGAACAGAAACGACAATTTATACTTTATTTTCAGTAAAAACCCGGAAAAAAATAATACTTTTTTTGTGATTCGCTTGTTTACGCTTTTACGCGCAATTGGTTGCTATTCGTACAGCAGATAAATCAGTGAAAAAACCAATTAAAATCCCAAAAGTGTTCAATTTAGTTGTGCACATTCACACATGGGATTTCCAACCGCCACAAGTAATTTACACATTGTGAAATGCGTTTTTGATCATTTCGATTGGAATATGAAGTGAATTCATGATATTTTTATATACTTGCAGAAAAATAAAGAAAAACGTGTGATTTCGCAATTTGAAAAATAGAAAAAAATAGAACGTCATTCAAACGCACACTTGGTTCTGTGCTACGCTGTGCTATATAGAGAAAAACACCTGTACAAAGAAATCAACAAAACAATTCACATACGCATCGTATTTCTTCCGCTAGATTGAGAAATCCAGTCTCTTTGTTTTCTAATCCCATTGGGACTTGAGTGCTCAAGTGATTTCTAGATAAGTGGGGGGACGCTTTGTAGGTAAATTGGATAAAAGTATAAGCTGACCGTTTTTATGCATTGGTTTTCATTGTCACACAATCTTCTTTTGTGTAGGGCTTTTCTTTATTTGAGGGTGTTTCTACCAAAAATCATTATATTTTTATTTTTGCTATTTGTCTATCTTATTGCGTGCAATTTTTAATGTACGCTTTGCTATTTGACTGTAGTATATTGGCAAATATTTTTAATACGAAATAGATATAATGACTTGCAATTTTTTTAGTTATATTTATTTCGTCCTTGAATTGAAATTTACAATAAAGACAATGCCAAACAAACGAAAATAATTTTGTGAAAATTTCAGTTCCAACTTATGAAAAACGCTCATTACAATCGATAAATGCAATAAATTCGAAAAGGGGGAGAGAGAGAAGAGTTTTGTAATAAATTTTTCGGAATTTCATGTTGAAATCGATTAAATGGTTGTGACGTTTATGTCATTATACTAGTTGAGATGATGTTATTGTTGTTGTTTAAACTAATTTATAGGCAACAATGTGTGCGATGACGAAAGAGATGCAAGTACACACATTTCACACATAGTCATGGCTGCTGTATGTTATTTTTGAAGTGGTTTCAATAAAGGTTTTGTTTGTTTTTTGTTGCTAAAACGTCGACAACGAATTGCAGCCACATAAACCATTCGTGTGCGCATTGAAAATTATTCAAGGAATCATTTTTTATGAGGTCGTCACTGCTAAACACTAATATTTATACGCGAAATGTCTAAGGCGCACAGATTTTAATCAGATGAAATGCGTCGTCGTATTCTTGACTCATTGCTTGCGTATTGTTGTGGTTCGACAAAAAAAATATTGCATATAAATCGTATGTGCACATGCCTCGATGCATATGTATAAGTAGGATTGAATCGACATTGAAGGACAATCATTTTCAAAGATGTATATCGTTTCAAGTCAACGGCAATATTTTACTTTAATTTCACGTATCATAATGAAATAATGAATTTCACCGCAATTTTCGAATCAAATTTAAAGTTTCTCCAGTTAAGACTTAACTTATCGGTAATTGTTATTAATTGCTCTTGTACGAGAGATTAGATAAAATGATATCGATGTGGTTGCGTTTTTAGTCTTTGTTTGTCGTCGACAAATTGACGTGACGGATGAACAAAAATACCAATCGATTACATTTAACAGTTGTTTTTCGCATTTGCATTTACATTGATGTAATTCCATTCTACGTCATGCTTTATCGTTGTGTCAATATAGCTAGAAAAAAAAGAAGATTCAAATAGTGCAGAGAAGTATTTTTTTTCTATTCTTTGAACGTAGATTCGTTTGTACCAATGCGTGAGAAATAATTCAATTATGACATTGTTTTGGAATGCTTCAGACTAATATCGAGAAATGGTTTTAATCTTTTTGCCGTCAAAGACGATAAATTTTCCTTGATTTGCCGCACCATAAATATTATTCAGTCTGTTTTCTGTCCCATTTTGCACACACACACATTTATTTTTATTATCACACACATGAAAATAAATTAGGTGGATCGAAAATATCGTGTAAACGCACGTAGATGTATATATCGTTGGCACACGTCAAGACCTTGACAAAACCGAAGAAAAAATAAAATGTTGTTTTAATGTTTTGAAAATAGAAAAAAAAGGAAACGAAATAATATCGAATAGTGTCAATAGTTCAATTGAAAATCGAGTGATATATCGAGCGAACCGAATTTCGAGTTGATTTTCGATTTTTATAACATTGTTTATATATGCCTCTGGGTGCATAACGCTTTGCTAATTAGCAAATGCGCACTTATTCATCGACGAATATGCCATGTATATTTATAGACCTAGCTGCAGCAGGGAGTCGCCTTTTGTCACGTTGTCACTCATTCTAATGGTAATATTCAAGTTAAAGAAAAAAACAAACAGTAAATACCGTACGTCGTGGTTTCAAACTCATTTATAATTGATGTGAATATGTGCATTCATCGAACCATATGTTTATCCCATAATTATGGATTCCTTATTATGAGAATGAGTTCAATTCAATGTTTTTTTGAAAGGGAAAAAAAAGATGTTTTCGAGGACAATCTTTGATTTGATATTCTTTTGAAATAAACACTTCAATTAGACTCAAAGGTCAAACTAAATATATGAGAGAAATTTATTGTTTACTACACTTGGTCTTTAATTTTAAAAATCGTTCGAATTACGTGGAGTTTCTGGCCAAAGATTCATAAAAATTCAATAAGGAAAAAAAGTAAAATTGGATCGAAACCACATTTTTGAATTAAGCGCCATTTAATAAATGAATATGTTGAAATCAATACATCTTTTTTTCGCCACAACAATACTTAATGATGATTGTTTGTGTGTGCACTTGTATGCATGTCAGTAACTGTACATTTGAGTATAAAAATAAAAGAAAATAGGTTGTAATTAATCAGACCACGAGGAATTGTTGCGTGATATGAAAGTTGAAACTACTTTACCCTTTTTCGGAACAAAAACAAAACATTCAAGGGAAACGCTGAGAAATGAAAAGAAAGAGGGGCGACTACAATTCATTGCCTCACAATTGCTCACTTGCCTATATGTTCCTTTTACCTTCCAAATGATAGAATTTCATTTGCTGGGGTGCAACTCCGAAACTTTTTTTCTCTTCTTTTTGACGAAAAAGAAATGTATTGAGGACGGAAATATAACAATGGTATAAACGATTATTATATTGAAATTGTAAGCCGCACCAATTTTCTATGCATTTGGGCTCAATTTTCAATGAAAACAAAAGAGTTTTGATTTGCATTTTACCTTGTTGTTTCTTTTTTACGATAATAAAGATTTGTTTGGACACAACAACAAAATAAAACGGAACAACCTTTCGAACTTTTAGTAGTAGCAAAAATGTGTATACATTCAGTTGTTTATAATTGCATTTTTTTCTCTCTTTTTCTTTGAAATCGATGTAGTTCGCAATCGTCATACACAAGTCCATGGCATTGGACAAAGGTGACAGCAACAGGCGAATGACATACGGCTGATGGTCGCAAGGAGACAACGATACCAACATCCGATTTGTCAACATATCTTCCAGGCAACAATGATTTCCACAACTTTCAGCAATTGATGAATAATAATAATAATAACAATGCAACTATTGTCAGCAATAGCAATGTATCGCCAAAAAATCGAATGCAAAATGTGAATCTTGTGAATGGCGGTGGTGGTGGCGGTGGATATCCATTTTTGCCGCCGCCACAAAGCCAAGCGATGACCGCTCAAAATCCCTTATCGCCCAGCGCTAATTCATCGATGCTACCGCCGGCTCCAATGGTAAATCAATCGCATACGATGGTCGCACAACAATCACCGATGGCCAATGCACGCAATGCATTCCCAGTGGATCGACCATCTGGCACAAATTTGGAATCAAGCAACAATCAAACATCAAACCAATCAAATTCAACGGATCAAAGTTCAACACAACAACACAATCCCATGCTTTCACCAACCAGACATCTTCCATTTCCGTACAGTAATCTCAATAATTATCACCGCAACTTCTAAGCATTCACAAAAACAACAAACATCAACAAACAAACACATAAACCGAAAACATTTTTTTTTATTCACATTTATTTAAGTGTTTAATTATTACATAATAGAAATTGAGATTAGAGAACTGACATATTTGCATTATTGTAGTAGTTTTTGAGAGGCATAGTGAAACAACAAAAAAATTGATGAAAAAAAATTGAAAACAAAAAGAGAAAAGTGTAATTTTCAATAATCATCATTGTAGATAACGTATCTTATAAGATTTGGATTCCATATTGTTTCGTATTGATAAAAAAAATTGACATCATTCTGTTGAAAAGGGATTTTTTCAGAATTCGACCACAAGAATCACCGTAATGATGATGACGATAAATAAATAGAAAAAATGTCAAGAAAAGGGTTCCTTCAAGCCACTTTGATGTAACATTGAATTGATGACAAAATTGCTATTTATGACATGCAATTGAGAAATAATTAATAATAATACGATGACTTATTATCGTTTCCAAAACCTCTCCCCAGCTCTGTCCTCCCCCATTCTGTGTATGTTGTCTATGCTAGTCTAGAAATAATTTATTGTACTAATTGTAACTTGAAATTGATATTTAATTGATACGATATTGTATAAGTGATTGAATGCGTGTATAAAAGAAGAAAATGCTTTACAAATATGAATTTATTATTGACAATTTTTTGAGACAAACTCAAAATTATGTTTTTTCTATTTAAAAAAACCCACTATTGATAAACTATGGTTGAGTGCTACTCAACGTAAAAATAAACAGGCTAAATATCTCTGGATTGAAAATTATCACCAGAGAGACAATTAAAGTTGCAATAAGTTTTTAGAAGACAAAAATTGTTTCATTATCATCTTTCAGACTAATTATAATTTATCGATTGAATACATTGCCAAGCATAAAGAAATGCTTATGTCAGTCCCAAATAACTAAATGGAACTCTAAAAAAAATACACAAACTCGATAAGCAATTCGACAACAACAAAAACGAACACAGTTCTACTATACTCTTGTTACTTGATACAATATCAAAAAAGGCGAAAGAAATTCAAACCGTCACTTAAGAAAACAAAAAAAAATCGGCAAAACGCTATGTGTATAAAGTTCCTCAGCAGCAACAACATATTGATGTAAACATACTGAAAAAAATATTGATAGCCTCATAGATTTATTGCAAGTATCTGCAACAAACTAGATCAATATTGTATAATATTAGACAAAAATAGGATGAAGTTACTGTATATGGACTAATTTTATTTGAAATTCTGCAAAATTTTATAAAAAAAATTAAAACAACAACAAATTAAATCAAAACAAATGGAATAAACTCTCTATGAATATTAAAATAATAATAATTTTCTCATTTCCACATGTTTATTTATTAGTTTATATCTTCGTTTATATATAATAAACACAAAAATCGAAAAATAAAAGAAGATTAATATGAAAATGACCAGACATTGTTTTAATCAATTATGAATTAGCCGATTCGGAACGCTCATTTGGGAATTGATGCATTATCAGCGGGTAAGTATACCAAGTCAATGATATAATGACGTGAATAAGCGACGAAAAACTCAATTATCGCAATAAATGATTCATCGGGGCTTAGTCATGCAATTTGCTTAGGTATAAATGGTTTGAGAAGAATCAAAAACGTGTGTTTGTCGTCAACCCACAAGTAAATTATAAAATAATCTATTTTAAAACTCGTATTATATGTCTCGATTCAATTAGAAACAGGAATAGATATATTTTTACCATGGACAGTGTTTAAAATATCAGCGATTTATTTATGTCAATATGTGGGAAGTTGTCATGGTTTTCAGATTTGAGATCTCAAATCACAACAAAACAAACCATCTATTAAATATTTGAATGTCTTAAAATCGAATCATTCCAAATATGATTTTAAAATCAATGTTGGGAATGATGAATTTATGAATGGAACACTTATTATTTTGATATTCGATGTTTTCATGTCGACTCTTCATTTTTTATTAATTATGATCTACCTTCAGTCCTTCATCTTGAAAAATATCCTCATTCTACATATTAAATGAAAGTTCTTCTTTCGTTTACATGTAATCTACTGATTGAAATTACTATCTAAAATTAAACAAAATGAATTGGAACAAGGCGAAAAAAGTCATTTCGAAATACGTAAAAAAGGTTATAAGAAATTCGAATATAAGTACCTTTATGGGTAGCACATTCAAAATTTATGAACTATGTAGTATTTGTTCAAAGAAAAAATCGAAGCATTTTGTGTGTGTGCGGTTTGAGCGATAAAAGCGAAAATCAATTTCATCGTTGAGAAGCAGCTAAGTACATTAAAAATTACTGTTGTTATGACTGAACCAAAATGCGATCCCTTCCTGCCCGAATGCAATAAATTCCTCTCAAATATAGTAGTATACTACTAGTATGTTTCCTTAAACTACCACTTGTGATGTTCCCACTATATATTTAAGTTTACGATGATAAAACATACAAATACGTATGTTTTACATGTTGAGAGCACTTTATTCCAATAATGGCCATTAAGCGTTGAGATTGCATAGCGCGTAAAACGTCGGCAAATGAAAACTAATATCTATCAATCAATATCATCATTATTATCCATCCAAAAGTCGATCTACACGATTCAGAATCGGAAATAATAATCAGTTATCTGTTTTCACTTCATCAAGCCGCCCAAATCGAGAATATTCTGGATGCTACCGAATATTTATGGAAATGGTCTTTTGGATAATTTCTAATGGGAAATTATGGGCATAAATCGAAACATGTAACTAGAATTTTTCTTTCGATCCCTGTAAAAATCTTATCTGAAATCATGAATGGTGTGAAATACGGATATTCTGAATACAAATTCTTCATTTCAAAGTCTGATTGTATGATTTTATGTTTGAAGTTGAAAAAGTTTTTATCTGCTGCGAAATTGAAAAATTGTCAAATAATGTCTCATATTGATCCAAAAAAAATGCCACGTCATAGCGCAGGGTATAAAAAAACTGCGATATATTAATGTATAAAATATTTCCATCCATCTATCTTCGGTGTTCGAATTGTCCGTAAAGTTTTCTTTATGACAGCAACAGAAACGCAAAAAGACGGAAAAATTAAAGTCCAGATGTGTGTATATATTTATACACATAATGCTCGGATCAAAATGTACAAAAACACAACCGCATTGTAGAAAATTTGTATTTTGACGAATAATATCGATTTTTTCGATGCCTTTGAGTTAACTTGGTACGATAGTTAGTGTATGTGTGTGTGTGTGTGTGTGTGTTTGCAGCATTTGTATGTTGTGTGACCCGGAGAGGTCGACGTCATGCGATTTCACGCATGCGCCCTATCTCATCGCTGCTTTTTTTACTACTTTTGTTCATTCTTTGACTGTTTTCCTATTACTTTTATACTGTCTTAACGTTCAACGACTGCCGATATACATGCACATATTTTCTCGAATAAAATATTGTACCGAATCACAATGGACCGACTGTGAGCGGTGGAACATGTAAAAGGATAACGAAGACAAACCAACAAAGAAGACGAAAAAAAAAAACAACCATTCCAAAGACATGCATGTTTGTAATGGGTTTCTTCTTCACCATCGTTAAAACCATTTTCCTCTTGAAAAACATGTAAACTTGCCGACCAACGAAAAACCGGAAAGAAATTTTTCGATAAATATGCTTACAAGCTTAACAAACTTTCTTTTTTTTCGCTATGAAGTTGTAATGTTTGGCAAGGTTTTATTGCGAAAAACTAACAAACATTGACAATCTCTTGCCTCCGTTTTACACACGGAAATAACAAACCAGATAGACATTAACAAGAAAAATTTCTTATACATGGCATTTTCACCCAGAACCCGATATTTTACCATTTTCATTTTATAGCTTATCGATTACATAGTCCGATTAATTTGGAGCGATTCATTTCATTTTCGCTTCATCACGCTATATAAGAAGAACATACAATGTATTTCATGCAGACGACGGCGTGGTACGAACGAATCCAATCGTAATTTAATTAGGAAATGCTCCAAGAATGCGCCTGCTGTTTTATTACTTGTTTCAAAAACATTGACGATAAATTTTTTCGGTGACACAAACCATCGAAAGAGAAATGAACCAATATGGACAATTATTGCATTATTTTAACGATTCATATTGTTAATCGAATGAGAAATGATTTTTATTCTCAACGGAATGACCAAAAGCAAGTATGGAAAAATAGAGCATGGATAATTCCATTTAACAAAAAAAAATTCCATTTAATTAAATGTAGTCAAGAGAAAAAAAAGTTATTAAAATAATCGATTCGATATTTATCCCATTTGTGAAGCCTTGAACTGATCTTAATACGCACATGTAATATAAATTATTTACATCACATTAAAATTACTTGACGCTGTTTAACACGTTTGCGCTTCGTGTGCTTTGTAAAAAGAAAATAAAAAAAGACACACATTTTCTTTTCGACTATCAAAACATTTACACACACATTTGCAAACGACACACGTGTAATTTTATTTTAATGGTATTTTCGTGTGACCTTTTTTAATTTTACGCCCATACGGATTATTATTGTTTTTTGTTGTTTGTAAATTTTTACGGCCATTATTTTTATTATCTGATATATGTAAATACCGTCAAGGATAAACGGGTCACAAAAAAAATGTATGAAGGATTTTTTCATATTCAAAATCTATTGGCCAATATGCATTGAACAGAACGAAAATCGATTTTATGGGCAACGTAAAAACCTTGCTTCTTAAAGGATTTAACAATTTTCGTGAGCAAATTGTAATTAAACGGGGAACGTATCATTTCGTTTATTACATCTATTTATATTTGTTTGTTGAGTGATATCGGAATATGATTCAAATATGATAGAAATGACACGTTTCTACGTTAAATGGCATAACATTTCCGCCCAAGCAAATATATGATTAACGACTTCACCGAGCTAAGGATAATGGCAAATGAACAAAACCTTTGCACTTGCCACACTTCAATCTTAAATTCCATCAGCGAAATGAAAGAGTGGAGGATACGTACGCGAAGTTGCTGTTTTCTCTCAGCTAATAATAATCGATAATTAAATCGAATCGATAAAAGTAAATGGCAAAAACACACACATATATGTGGAATGTGGAATATGTGCTAAAAATAAATAGCTAATATTTGAATGTGTATGTAGTACATTATGTATCGAGAGAATTCGTTTTGCAATAAATTTTTACATTTGCGTCACATCAGCGCTTGTTATTTTCGATTTGAAATGAAACTCATTAAGGTTTTGGCCTGTAATTAGCTATATTATCAGTAAACATTTTTGCTGTTATGATGGAATTAAATGACAAACGACAAAACAGAAGTCGGAAATAAATATTTTTTTTTTCAACGTACTTGAACGTATTATTATTTTATTGTCTCGAGAAATTTCTTTCTTCTAAATAATCTTTATTGAAATTCCCCAAGAGATTGAATTATCAACGATAAATGATAACTTTTCTATAATGATTGGAATTCTCCGCAACTTTGAGTGTTTGACATTCTGGGTTTGTGATTAATACATTTTTGAAAATCGAGTTAATTTGGGGAATTTCCAATGAATCCCGCATTGTTTTATTTTTGACGAATTTCGGATGAAAAATTTAGAAATTCAGACTGAATTTTGTGGTTTTTTACCAGAATTGTTGAAATCTAATTCGGAGAATTTACTTATCATGTTTATCTGAATGAATTAAATGAATTAGATGATGTTTATCATGGAATTTTTGTTCAATGCAAACCCGTGTGGAAACTGGAAAAAAGGTTACTGACTTTTTCTCTATAGTCAACTGCGATTGAAGTTGAATGAAGTTATATTTTTCTCTACTAGGATTGATTGAAAAATCAGTCAAATCAACTTAAAATAACTTCAATCTCAGTTGGCTTAAGCCAAAAATGTTCAGTCAGTCAACTGTTTAGTCAGTCAGTAATTTTCCACAAGGGAATGATATCTTTGGTTATTATAATTATTTCTTATCAACAAAGTCGTGGTGACTGATTGATGAGTT